TTACAAACACAAGCACTTTGAGATTTGTTAATTTTCTAAAGTAAAAACAAACTTTCTTTATTAATTCTTGAAACAGTAGTTTGTATTATAAGTATATTATTTTCTGCAGTTTTATTATTGAGCGCCCATTGTTCTTCTAATAACCATCCTATGAGGTTTCTGTGGTGTAATGCAAGGGAAATAAGCAGCTTAATTTTAGTAAATAATTAAAATGATTAGCTCCCTTGGATGGTTTAAACAATGATTTTCTCTAGTAAATTGTGAATGACAGCATGGCCTGGGTTTGTGGTAAATGGTCTAGAGATGTAGGCAACACATATTGTTCAAACATTTGTAAAACTGAGCATATATAAAACTTAGCACATTTGTAACGGGCGGGCACATTTGTAACCGGCACATTTGTAGCCAGGACACTTGTAACCGGCACATGTGTAACCGGCACATCTGTATCCAGGCACATGTGTAACCGGTACATCTGTAACCGGCACTTTTGTAACCAGGCACATGTGTAACCGGCACATCTGTAACCGGCACATTTGTAACCGGCACATTTGTAACCGGCACATTTGTAACCAGGAAACAAGAACATGTTTTCCCACAGAAAATGCGCTGAACAATTTCAAACTCTCCCCCAGCAAAAAAAAAAATTATATCAACCAAAAATTTAATAAAGTGATACACAATTGTAAAACACAAGAAACAGTGGATGATGTAAACGATATTTCCGGGAGGTTAAAAACCTGTGTATACTTTCTATGTCAATAGTATAAGAAACAGACGACCACATTTACGGTCAACAGAAAATTCGCTTCAAACAAATTTACAGACATAACAACTTTATGCAATAAAATTTATAAATAACAGATAATTCGGTAATCTCTAATTTTACTCAGACGATTGGATGAAGTAACCAGAGTAACGAGTATACATTTCTAGTACACATCACATGTGTGTAAAACATGTCAAGGAGATGCTTAGCTTAGGCCAAGAGGAATTGGATCGTAAGCTGGGACACAATTTGTAGTCCGAGACATTAGACTGTTCGTAAGTTGAGTAGCCCGTAACGCCACAATGGCGTCTTGTAATATATATATATATATATATATATATATATATATATATATATATATATATTTATATATATATATATATATATATATATATATATATATATATATTTATATATATATATATATATATATATATATATTGTTACGATCCCAGTGGATCTCTACCTGAGTTAACCCTATTAAAGGGTAGGGGTGATGATAATTGTGTTAGATTCTAATTACTGGTGACAGCCTTATTGACCTGTGACCGTTGGGGGAGACAGTATGGCGGGCGGATTGGAGGAAAATCTAGGAAGTTATCAGTAGGGTCTGACCGTTTAATTAGGTACTACAGAACTGTGGCGACGTACGAATTAGGTTAGGCTGGATGAAGACAAAGAAAGGAGACCGTTATTTAAGGAGGGGTAGACTGGGGACAGACGGTCAGAGAGTCTCACGAGTGAGAACACGGACAGACTCGTCTCGGATAGCTAGGTCTAGAGGAGACAGACATGGGGCGTCTCTGTGAGCTAGTGGACAGCCAAGAGATGCCTGTACTGTAGTAGACCTAGACTAGATAGTTAGGGACAAGTAGGGTAGTCGTACTAAGAACTGTAGTTGTTGTAGCTAGTTGTGTATATTTCTGATTTTTGTACTTCGGTGGCGGGTTAACTTTAAGTGTTGTAATTTGTGGAAATAAATAGAGATCACTGAAGTTGGCGTTTATCTATTTTTTTTATTTTTCTGCTTCTTGTTTACGATTCCCTGACTAGTTCGAAAGGATTAGAGAAGGGAGTCGTAACAGAATATATATATATATATATATATATATATATATATATATATATATATATATAAGTGGTTAATCACTTTGTATCTATATAGTATATACATAATGTATATAGATACAAAGTGATTCATTTCAGGTTTGGGCATGCCTTGCCATACCAATCCTAGCATTATGTTTTGAGGTCAATGTCCTAACGTAGAATAGCCCCGATGTGTTTAAACCACGTGACTTTCGGTTGCCCAGTACACGATGTTGTTTCCCTACCTAGACTGAGTGTCCAGTAAATGCTGTGCCCAAACCCCCCCCCCCCCCCCCCTCCTTTCTCAAGGAAATGAAAATATTACCTGACAAAAAGCCTCAAGCTAATCAGATAAGCGGAGGGGGAACTAGGGAAGGTGTAAACTCACATAGGTTAGGTCACAGGTGAACACACAGAAGTTAGGTCACCGGTGAACACACATTGGTTAGGTTACAGGTGAACACACATTGGTTAGGTCACAGGTGAACACACATTGGTTAAGTCACAGGTGAACACACATTGGTTAGGTCACAGGTGAACACACATTGGTTAGGTCACAGGTGAACACACATCGGTTAGGTCACAGGTGAACACACATTGGTTAGGTCACAGGTAAACACACATTGGTTAGGTCACAGGTAAACACACATTGGTTAGGTCACAGGTGAACACACATTGGTTAGGTCACAGGTAAACACACATTGGTTAGGTCACAGGTAAACACACATTGGTTAGGTCACAGGTGAACACACATTGGTTAGGTCACAGGTAAACACACATTGGTTAGGTCACAGGTGAACACACATTGGTTAGGTCACAGGTGAACACACATTGGTTAGGTCACAGGTGAACACACATTGGTTAGGTCACAGGTAAGCACACATTGGTTAAGTCACAAGTAAATACACATGAGTTAGGTCACAGGTAAACACACACCAGATAGGTCACAGGTAAACACACACCAGATAGGTCACAGGTAAACACACACCAGATAGGTCACAGGTCAACACACCAGATAGGTCACAGGTAAACACATACCAGATAGGTCACAGGTAAACTCACACCAGTCTACAGGTGTGCTAAAGCTGTGCGGGTATATCAGTTTTTAATTAATTTTCAATGAAAGTTGGGGAATGAGTGTGTGGGAGAATATTTTGGGGAGGATGTGTGGCAATGTAACTGGCGAGGGAACTGGCTTAGGTGGGGATAGGACTTTAGAGGGGAATATAGTTGGAACATGACGGGTGGGGAATATAATTAACACTGGGAATATTGTGTGGGGAATGTGAATTGGGTGTAAAAGTAAAGTGGGAATATAGGTGACTTGCATATAATGTTGTTTTTGGTGAGATATGACTTATGACCTAGAAATCTGTGAGGAGTATGACTGTTGTGGGGAATGGGGAGTATGACTTATTTGAGATTTATGCCTAGTTGGGAACAATGGGGTGAATATACTTTGTGCGGTGCATATGATTTCAGAGTTAAATGTTTTGAGGCGGGATTTAGGTGGAGAATTTGACGAGTGAAGAAATATTAGAGCTAAGTCATGTAAACTATATGTTGTAAAGATGACTTAGGAAAGACGACTTGGGAAAAGGGTTTGGTGACGTTAGTTTTTGGCATTGGAAATTTTCAGCCTATTCGAAATACTTGTGTTTTATACCGTGGTTAGCTTCAATAATATATAAAGGACAAATACAATTTCCAAGATCGATTTTACGTTGATCGTTGCTTATTTTTATAGGTATAACTATATGTACTGTAGTTACAGCAGCTATGAGTATGGTGGTTACAGTAACTAATGTCAGTTAGGTATCCATCAAAGCTGGGTGGACAAAAGGATGTCCTACTGACCTACACCCGGATTGGAACTGGAAACTTTCCGGGTAGCGTTCTACCGCTGGTGAACGGAAAAAAAGTCACAGGAAAAAAACAACAGAGAAAAATGCCAGATTTTTTTTTGCTATGAAAAATAGAAACAGAAAAAGTCACAAAAATATTCTAAGAAATATTTTGATTTAATTGTTGATAGTTATAAAATGTTGGGTGTTTATTAATGTCCTTGGTAATTTTTTTCGGTAGCATATTTGTAAACTTTAAAAGCATTATGGTTTATAACAAAAGAAAGTTAAAATACTGTAAGGTAATGTACATAACAAACTCAACATGTGTTACGTATGTAGTTAAATACACGGTGGAAAATTTCAAAATAAATTTAGGTTCATTGTTGTGTTTGCATATGTTTTTGCCGTAGGGCTTATTTTGGTCGGCTTCTCCTAAGTCGGCTTTGCTATTTGTTGTGATTAGTTGAGGACAGCAAGTCACATTAATTACGTATTTTTGCTAATTCACGCTAATTAAAAGTTAGAATTTAAAAAAAAAACACACGATTGAAACCGAGAAGGTTTGAACAGATATTATGCTGTTCAATATTATACGTAAAACGGAATTACAATTAAAATCTACTAACTTTATACTAAAAAAGTCGGGGTCGGCGTGGTCGAGTCGGTAAAGCTCATGGTTGCTAAAACCGAAAAATCACGAGTTCGAACCCTCGGGCAGATGAGGCTCGTTAGCTGGGGACAGCCACTCTTCTAGGAGAGACAACTCCAAAATCAAACAACTTCTGCCTTGTAGTTTGTTCTTGGTTGGACAAAGGGTATGGAAGCAAATCCAAAAAGAAAAGCAGGCTGAAAGCGGAGTCAATGGCGTCAATGGCGCATAACCAGTTGACACGTAATCCTTAATTGTGATGGAAGCATGGTCGAGTCGGCAAAGCTCATGGTTGATAAATTCGAAAAAAAGTCTCGAGTTCAAACCCTCTGGCAGATAAGGCTCGATCCCTCCCAACACTAAAAAATTAAGAACGAAGAAGAAGACATACTAAAATCTTTTATGTGTGTTATAAATATTACTAAATGTATTCAACCCACGAATATATCTAAAATGATTACATTACATTTAATTAATCGTAAGTTCATTAGCATAATACATAAAAGTATTAAGAAATTACATTTGTGACATTTTTCCCAGTGACTGTTTTCCTGTGAATTTTTTCCTTTATTTCTGTTTTTTTTTTCTGTGACTTTTTTTTAACCTACAATCTCTACCGCTAGGCCACGCCGGTTACAGTAACTATATGTATGATGATGGCAGTTACAGTAACTATTTGTATGATGATGGCGGTTACAATAACTATATGTATGATGATGGCGGTTACAGTAACTATTTGTATGATGATGGTGGTTATAGTAACTATATGTATGATGATGGCGGTTACAGTAACTATATGTATGATGATAGTGGTTACAGTAACTATATGTATGATGATGGCTGTTACAGTAACTATATGTATGATGATAGCGGCTACAGTAACTATATGTATGATGATGGCTGTTACAGTAACTATGTGTATGATGATAGCGGCTACAGTAACTATATGTATGATGATGGCTGTTACAGTAACTATATGTATGATGATAGCGGCTACAGTAACTATATGTATGATGATGGCTGTTACAGTAACTATATGTATGATGATGGCTGTTACAGTAACTATATGTATGATGATGGCTGTTACAGTAACTATATGTATGATGATGGCTGTTACAGTAACTATTTGTATGATGATGGCTGTTACAGTAACTATATGTATGATGATGGCTGTTACAGTAACTATATGTATGATGATGGCTGTTACAGTAACTATTTGTATGATGATGGTGGTTACAGTAACTATATGTAAGTGATGGCGGTTACAGTAACTATATGTATGATGATGGCGGTTACAGTAACTATTTGTATGATGATGGTGGTTACAGTAACTATTTGTATGATGATGGCTGTTACAGTAACTATATGTATGATGATGGCTGTTACAGTAACTATATGTATGATGATGGCTGTTACAGTAACTATATGTATGATGATGGCTGTTACAGTAACTATAATTATGTATGATGATGGCTGTTACAGTAACTATATGTATGATGATGGCTGTTACAGTAACTATATGTATGATGATGGCTGTTACAGTAACTATATGTATGATGATGTCTGTTACAGTAACTATAATTATGTATGATGATGGCGGTTACAGTAACTATATGTATGATGATGGCTGTTACAGTAACTATATGTATGATGATGGCTGTTACAGTAACTATATGTATGATGATGGCTGTTACAGTAACTATATGTATGATGATGTCTGTTACAGTAACTATAATTATGTATGATGATGGCGGTTACAGTAACTATATGTATGATGATGGCTGTTACAGTAACTATATGTATGATGATGGCTGTTACAGTAACTATAATTATGTATGATGATGGCGGTTACAGTAACTATATGTATGATGATGTCTGTTACAGTAACTATAATTATGTATGATGATGGCGGTTACAGTAACTATATGTATGATGATGGCGGTTACAGTAACTATATGTATGATGATGGCTGTTACAGTAACTATAATTATGTATGATGATGGCGGTTACAGTAACTATATGTATGATGATGTCTGTTACAGTAACTATAATTATGTATGATGATGGCGGTTACAGTAACTATATGTATGATGATGGCTGTTACAGTAACTATATGTATGATGATGGTGGTTACAGTAACTATAATTATGTATGATGATGGCTGTTACAGTAACTATATGTATGATGATGTCGGTTACAGTAACTATATGTATGATGATGGCTGTTACAGTAACTATATGTATGATGATAGCGGCTACAGTAACTATACGTATGATGATGGCGGTTACAGGAACTATATGTATGATGATGGCTGTTACAGTAACTATATGTATGATGATGGTGGTTACAGTAACTATATGTTTGATGATAGCGGCTACAGTAACTATATATATATATGATAGCGGTTACAGTAACTATATGTATGATGATAGTGGTTACAGTAACTATATGTTTGATGATAGTGGTTACAGTAACTATATGTTTGATGATAGCGGCTACAGTAACTATATATATATATATGATGGCGGTTACAGTAACTATATGTATGATGATGGCGGTTACAGTAACTATATGTATGCTTGTACAGCTAGTAATGCAGAGTTTTCTACCAAAGTTGCAGTGATTAGTACACACATTAGTACACATATTAGTACACACTACAACACCTCATTTAAAAAACCTGTTTTATCCTTTAATCGTTTAATCTTTCAATCTTTAACCTCCCAACATTTACCAACTTGGTGTGATTTCCTGATTAAATGCTAAAACCAACCTACTTTTGTAGACAACTAATGGTAGAGTAAAATTTACTTTCCTTATAAACAATCTTAGCTTTTAAATTCTGCCTACTGTTATGTACTTTTAAGAAAAACTAAAATAAAATGTCTAAAAAGTTAAATGACCAGTATAGCAAGGGTTACAGGAAAACTCTACAGCCACAAGATATAACATTAGACAATACACAGTCGCTATCAACTCTATCATCTTTATATTATTTATTTATGGAATATGGTGGATTGAATCAAATCCATGTTAATGTCTGGTTTAAGCAGGTGAAACTCTGAAAAAAAGAAAGTGATCGATAATAAAACTTAAAAAGAAATCTATAACGGGTTTATGCGATCGAGATGTGGCCGATAGTAAAAGCTGCTGACAAAGGTGTTTGAGAAATTGATGCCGACGTACGAGAAGTTTGTGTATAAAAGTGGGCTGCGGCTCATGTTGAGGTATTCTCTCCGTAGCTAGCTTGTGGTGCACCTCGGTAAGTACAAGTTTTTTTTTCTTACCGTAATTAGAGCTTAGAATTTCAGGTTCATTGAAAATTAGAAAATAATTTTTGTTAGATATTTGATGTTACGAAGTTAAAACGGTAGGAACTCCTTACCTGAGGTCTATGAAGATTGGTTGAGAGTTTTACATGTGTCGTTATTAAATTGATGATAATAGCAGTTTCATCTGGGTGTATGTAGCGTCCGAGAATTGTATGGTAACATCCGCTGGTGTCGTTGTCTTCAGTTAAAACCTCAGATGGTAACATAAGAAGAAGTAGCAGGTTAATCGTCAAATAGCAAAGTTAATGTCGGTGGATGGACAAGTTTCTTTTTTGCCAATGTCGATAAGTTAAAAAAGTACTCAGTAGTGGTCAGACGGACGGTAGTGAAGATGAAGTAGAGTTCAGTGTGTTCAGTACAATCTTAGTTGTCTTACCCACTCCAAAGAGCTGGGTGAATCTAATTATGTCTACAGAGCAACGATCTAACTTTTTTTTGACCAGCTTTGTGTGTTGTCTATCTCAGACTTAGCTCATCTGTCTACCATTGATGCTATACTCGATAGTTAACTGTTAGAATACAGATGGTATCCAAACATCTCTTTAACGTTGACATATTTCATCAGACAACAGAAGAGACCGAGACAATGGCTCACATCAAGATGATCATCGCGCTCGCCTGTCTGGCTGTCGCACGTGCCCAGTATGGTGGTTCTCAGAGCTACTCCGGTAGCCAGTCCTACCCCAGCGGTAGCCAGTCCTACCCCACTGGTAGCCAGGCCTACACTAGCGGTAGCAGCTACAGTTCCAGCCCCGCCAGCTACGCCCAGAGCTACCCCAGCTACTCTGCCCCCAGCTACTCTGCCCCCAGCTACTCTGCCCCCAGCTACTCTGCCCCCAGCTACTCTGCCCCCAGCTACTCTGCTCCCAGCTACTCTGCCCCCAGCTACTCTGCCCCCAGCTACTCTGCCCCCAGCTACTCCTCACAGTCCTCCTACAATTACCAACCTGCTCAGTCCAGCTACGGTAGCAACAGCTACAGTAGCCAGTCCTCATACGCCCCAAGCAGCTACGGTAGCAACAGCTACAGTAGCCAGTCCTCATACGCCCCAAGCAGCTACGGTAGCAACAGCTACAGTAGCCAGTCCTCATACGCCCCAAGCAGCTACGGTAGCAACAGCTACAGTAGCCAGTCCTCATACGCCCCAAGCAGCTACGGTAGCAACAGCTACAGTAGCCAGTCCTCATACGCCCCAAGCAGCTACGGTAGCAACAGCTACAGTAGCCAGTCCTCATACGCCCCAAGCAGCTATGGTAGCCAGTCCGGTAGCTACCAGCAAGATTCCTACAATGACTACAGTGTTGGATCATGTAAGTGGAGCAATGACTTTAAGTTGCCAGTATGACATTAAGATATGTACTACATTTTGGTCGGCGTAACAGTTAACTATAAAAAAGCATTTTAAATATTTAAAACTTAGAAAAGTTTTAAGAGCTTAGCATTTTCAGCATCGTCTCTCGTTATTTATGTAAGCTAAATTTTTTATATTGTTAGACACGTTGTTTACCATTTGATGATTAGCTAACCATATAAAGAAACAATTTGTAAAAATCAATACTACTTGTTTTAATGTTGACGATTTAAAAGTTTGATTTACAAATGTTTCCAAAGACCCATGCGGCCAAAAAGATGACGGTAAGACCTACGCCATCCCCTACGCTTGCTACGGCTACTTCGAGTGCTACTACGGCGAGGCCCTCTATCGTCAGTGTGACAACTACTACAGATTCGAGGCTGGCAAATGTGTGCCAGACCAGTCCTGCTACTACGGTCAGTTGTCCAGTCACTAATTCACCGTATGATAATTTCTCTTGACACTGTAGATAGCATCTTAGCTGTGTTTGCAACACTCCGTGATCACAGAAGATTCAGTTCACGTTTAAGCTTTATATCGGCTAGGGTTTTCTTGGTGACATACACATAGACTGAAATGTCTTGACTCAAAGAGTTGACACGTTCTTTTGTTTTTTCAGTTGCTCCAGCTGTGAATGCTTATGGTGGAAACTCATACGGTTCAAACGCTTACGGCTCATCCGGAAACTCATACGGCTCATCCGGAAACTCCTACGGCTCATCCGGAAACTCCTACGGCTCAAACTCCTACGGCTCCAGCAGCGGTAACAACAACTACGACAGCAGCTCTTACGGTAGCCAGTCCAACCAAGGTAGCTATGGTAGCCAGTCCAACCAAGCCAGCTATGGTAGCCAGTCCAACCAAGCCAGCTATGGTAGCCAATCATACAACCAAGCTAGCTACGCCAGCCAGCCAACTTACCAAGCTAGCTACGGAAGCCAAGATACCTACGGTAGCCAGCCAAACACCTACAATCAAGGTTCCTATGAAGATTACAGTTCTGGAATCTGTAAGTTCAGCTTGTACTTTGATACATATTTACTTCAACTTGCAAAAAGTTAAATTTCAAGTTTAAAATACTGTAGCATAACCAACCATAATTACCACAAATAACTTAAAACTGGAGCTATATATAAAGGTTGGAAATGATGTTATTTTACAGACAATTGCGGTAACAACGATGACGGCAAGACCTATGCCATTGCCGGAGCTTGCTACGGCTACTTCGAGTGCTACTACGGCACTGCCCTCTACCGTCAGTGTGATGACTACTACAGATTCGAGAACGGCAAATGTGTCGCCGACAAATCTTGCTACTACGGTAAGTTGAGGTTATACGTTATGTGGATATGGAACATGACCAAACATGTACAACCTCAACATATTTACACGTACACACCTTGTACACACTTGGGTTTTCTCCACATGTACATACATTCACACCCTGTGATTACTACAGTAATTACCACATGTACACACCTTGAACGTGCTAGCTGTATGTACACACAATCATTCAGATAACATACAAACAAGACCTCGTTCTTATTTTACAATACAACCAGCCATCTAGTTGTTAAAGTTGCTGGTTGTTGCGAGACTTTCAGTACGCGATGCTTAGAATGTTAGATTAAAATATATGTAGACAACTGTCTAATTATTGATTTGTATTATCTGACTAGTTGCCCCATCATACGGATCTTCATACGGTTCTTCATACGGTTCATCCGGAAGTTCATACGGTTCATCCGGAAGTTCATACGGTTCAGCCGGAAACTCCAACTCCGACAGTTCCTATGGCAACAAGAACACCGCCTACTAAAGCTGAAAGCGTTGATTGGCAAAGATGGATGAGATACAGGGAAGACAGACCAAAGATTCCAGCTACCAAAGTTGTATTGTGAAACTTGTTGACATCTGTTATATGAGACAAATAAAATCCCTTTGCTACGCTTATTGATTTTTCTATTATTATTTTTTTGCTTATATTGTATAGAGACAAAACAATTAATAATCAAGCCTATTTATAACTCGATGCTAAGATTTTAGTTGATGTGGTTACTGAGTGGTTTTAGTGAGCAGAGTTTCTTCCAGGCATCTCTTCGCCCCCCCCCCCCGAACGAAATGAAATTTATATAATTTATATAGAAAATATATACTTTTAACAGTGTCCGACCCCCCGAAGAAAGTCTACCGCCCCCCCCCCCCCCCCGAAAATTTCAAGTGCCCCCCCAAGAAAAAAGTCTGGAAGAAACAGTGTTAGTGAGGTGGTTAATGGGTGGTTATAGTGAGGTGGTTAATGGGTGGTTATAGTGAGGTGGTTAATGGGTGGTTATAGTGAGGTGGTTAATGGGTGGTTATAGTGAGGTGATTAATGGGTGGTAATAGTGATGTGGTTGATAGTTCAATCAATTGATACATCAAGAATAAACTTTTTAAAACTTCCTATTTGGTATCAAACCAAACTTAACCAACTATTCTGAACATTTTTCCCAGCCCATTGGGATACGCGATGAGGGGGTGGGGATGGGTAGGGGTCTGAGACTTGAAAGATAACTATACACTGTCACATACACTTTCAGTTTGCTAGTATGTTTGTTTTGAACAAGTTTTTACACTGAGCAGCGCTCATGCCGATTAAATTAACATGTCACTAAAGTTGGACCTCTATACGCTAGTACAAACACTTTACACACATTAAAACACGGAAAAGATACAACTAAGACATTTATTGAATACGAGCCGACCCGCGTCATATCATACGCCGCTATTTAGTTGTTGTTTTTTTCTACTTTTCAGTAATTCATAACTTGTGAATTCGACAGTACCAACGCTGACACTGAAAATATTTCTTTAAAACACTATAAGTAGCTCGTTAAGGACCATAACCCGCCCCCTCTTCCTTCCCCCCCCCCCCCCCAACGTTTAAAATCGTTTCAAACTAAATTATCTGCCCCTAATAGCCGTCACTAAATCCGAAGGTAAACAGCGTGAACCACAGCTCACTAAGATTATGTAGGGGTGGGGAGGTAGGGAGCGCGTTTACAGCTTGTTTTCTAGCGTCTCCCAGAAGAGAATTATATATATACGAGCCGGCCCGCGGCATAACATACGCCGCTATTTAGTTGTTTCTAATTTTCAATAATTCATAATTTGTGATTTCGACAGTACCAACGCTGACACTGAAAATATTTCTTTAAAACACTATAAGTAGCTCGTTAAGGACCATAACCCCCCCCCCCCCTTCCTCCCCCCCCCCCCCTACGTTTAAAATCGTTGGCTCTGCTTGTAAACATTTAGAGTGAACACAGCTCACTAAAACCATGTAGGGGTGGGGAGGTAGGGAGAGCGTTTGCAGCTTGTTTTCTAACGGCTCGAAGAAGAGAATTATATATATAGATAGATTGTAGATTGTAAAACACATCATGCGGTGTGTTTTTGTCGACTCCACACCAGCTAAAGCCTTATGTCCAGATAAATGAAAAATTATCACCGTATGCTAGGTAAAGAAACCCTGGGGCTATTTCTCCTGGACGCACCCCTCCACCCCCTCCCACACCTCAGCCTAAAGCCCAACAACCTGTCGAGACCTAGACATACCGTATATAAGGCCTTTGGTGCATGGCTCTACGCCTTTCTGCTCCTGAACCTGTTGCATCCCTTTTAAGCTCTGGACCTTTCAGCTCCTCAGCTCATTAAATCAATTTTAAGCTCTCGAGCTTTCTTGTTCTGAACTTAATTAATAAATTTTAAGCTCTCGGACTTTCTTATTCTGAACCCAATTCATACATTTTAAGCTCTCGAAGTTTCTTGTTCTGAACTTAATTAATAAATTTTAAGCTCTCGAGCTTTCTCGTTCTGAGCCCAATTAATCAATTTTAAGATCTTGACGCTGAGCTCCTTCAATAAGATTTACAGTAGACCTTACAGGCAGCTGTTTCTTCCTCTATAAAAAAAAAACATCCACATTTTTAACTATCAAGCACCATTTTACAACTAAAATACTTTTTTTTTTAAAAATTACAACAAAATGTTATTTAATTTTATTTCAATATCAGGTCTTACCGTCTCGGTGTCAACATGCAATCAACTCTTCACCCAACTCTACACCACCAGTAAGGCAAGATATGCATCGATTACATTTTGACAATAATTAAAAAGTTACAGTGATTGTTTAATGAACTAGTTTGTTTAAGTTTTCATTGATAGGTTTATAAATAGAACATTTTTACATAAAACTTGTTGGAGAGGCCATCGTATTACTGTGACCTTCACCTTCGGCTCTTCCTACCATCAACATATAAAAGTGAATGTAATTTTTTTTTTTAATATGTTCCAAAACTGACTCCTATAAAATAAGTAAAATACATATATTTTCAGTAAGAATCAGGAGATCTGGGTATAGATAAACAATTTTGAAATGAAGGCCTGCGCTTCATTGCTCTGGCGAATATTTTATTGGATTTAGGCTTTTTTTTTAAAGTTAATTTTAGCATTAAACGCCTCATTTCCAAATATGGATCACATTGATAGCATTTACTTTAAAGTTCCGCTTGACCTAGATACATAAACAGGTCGCCACGATAACCATCAATATTGCACTTTTTACACACACCCATTCCCCCTGGATAGAACGGTAACGATCTAGTCCCAGCTAAAAGTACACACGTTCGATCATCGTTCACCCCAAAATCGTCGGCCAAGAAACACCACAGTCAGCGTTTTTTGAGTTCATTCATGGGTTAAAGCAAATCTTACAAATCAATTTTACTGCAGAGTTTCTTTCAATGGTAGGGGAATTAAACATTGGCAGATAATTTCTAAGTTCAGTATTGATTTTCTTTTTAATTTCTAGCTTTCTGTGGGTTTTTTTATGTTTTTTTTCTTGGCATAAAATTAAACATCAGAAAGAAAGCTAAAAGTATTTTATATTCTTACATTGACCTGACATGACCTAATGACCTTCTTACTCGCCCACCCGCATCCCGTCCCCACACCAGTCATTGCCCCAGACCACGTCTGTCCACACAGATCATGACGACCTCCACCAGACGACCTCCCCTCCCCCCCCCCAACACTCCCACAACACTCCCCTTCGTTATATTAAAAGAATGTTTTCCTTTTTTACTTTCTGGTATATACGAAGTATAAAGAAAGTCTTGTAATCGTGCAAAAAAAAAAATCGAGATTTTAACAAATCTCGACGTTTTACACCTCACTGATACGGAAAAACATAATTTTGCAATCTTGTCCGTATGTCTGTGTGTCTGTCTGTGTGTCTGTCTGTGTGTAAACACGATAACTTGAGAACTGTTACAGCTAGGTTGATGAAATTTCATATATAAGTATTTTATCAAAATCGTAGATCCTGATCAACTTTGAGCGAGATCCGATAACCGGAAGTGGTACTTTTTCTACTTTGAATTTTTCAAAAGCCTATAACTTGAGTACTATTTCAGATAGATAAATGAAATTTCACATGTAAGTAAAAGATCTAATTCTCTACCTTCTGTCAAATTTTGAGTAATTTCCGTCGACCGGAAGTTATAATTTACGCTGTTTCCGATTTTAAAAAAAACGCATGTAAATTTATAAAGTACTAATAATATTGCGCACTATTATGCACATTTTGTTTCGGCGTTCGCTTGGTGCGCAATTCTTTTTTCTATGAGATTCTATTCTATTTTTAAAAGTTTAAGTAATTAAAAATCATGTCTATATTCCAACTTATATAAGAATATTCGAGAAAGTTTAGGGGAGATCACTCCCGGTTTATTTTTCTCTCTATTCTGGATTTTTAAAATTGATTTCTATTTATTTGTGTAATGGAGCAAAACAAAATTGCAATCTTCATTATTGGTCCCCTGACTATGTAATGAACTATTTCTGACTTAACATATTCACCACATGCTATCATGTTTCCTGGCTTTGTATGGGCCTCTTCAAATTGTTTACATTTCTACGTGTAGTACAGCTGAAGACACAATCCAAAAAATTCAAGTTGATGATTGGAACTCTGGGTAACAAGGTCACATTGTTCTGTTAAAGGTCCCCCCCTTTACATTGTTAGCTTAGCCTCAGCATTTACTGAGATCACATTCGTTGTCTGTGGGGATAATTAATAACTCTATTTAGATTTCTTTTCAACAAAGCTAGTTCTTTACAACTTAACACTAAGTGTAATTTTAATGGCTACTGTCTATCAATATTAATTTTTTTATTCCATTACATATTGTGTATTAAGTTACATCAACAAATGCGAAAAAAAAAAGAAATAAAACAAAACACAAAAAAACAACAACCAAAACTTGCAGTACTTCAACGAGAAGTTGATATTAAAGGGCAGTAACTAAAAAAATGTGAGTTAATATAGGGCCCCAAGAGTTGCCTCCCTAAAGTGTTAAAAAAATTATTAAATAATAAATATTCAAAAACACTTTTGATATCATGTTTGTATGTATAAATTTAATAAACCGGTAGTGATCTCCCCTAAACTTTCTCGAATATTCTTATATAAAACAACAGGGGATGGTAACTGGGGATCAGAGGCGTATCCAGGTTTTTGTTGTAGGGGGAGCGAAAAGAGCAAAAAAAAGGCGCCGAATTTTTAACACGTTCTATATACGTGTATTATATATATATATATATATATATATATATATATATATATATATATATATATATATATATATATATATATATATATATATATATATATATATATATATATATATATATATATATATATATATATATATATATATAATTACTAGCTGTATGTTATTACTTCGCTATGATGTAAAATAAATTGAAAGTAGCACTCTGAAGAAATAAGAAAAAACACACAATGTAGGCCGACAAACAAAAATTGTATCAATCTAAAAAAAATATACACACACTACAACCAAAAACAATGAACGTATCACAATCTGTTTTGTAATTCTTGTAAAAAAAAA